AAATGTATTTATTTTAACAGAAAGTTATTTAATTTAGTTAAAATTTTGTTTAAAGCTATAAAACTTGGTAACTATATGTGAGTTTGGGTGTAAAACAATAAAATTTAATAAAAAAGGTATATTAAGAGGAGCAATTTTGAGAAAACTTAAGTTTTTTTTAGCAAATTTTGGTACAAGTGATCGTTGGGAAGAGTTAATAAATCGGTCTGGCCAATATATTATTATATCATTATTATATCATTATTACTAAAAGTATAAGTTTTTATTACCAAAAAGTATAAGTTATTATTTTTTTTATAAACAAAGAAAATTTTTCTTGATATGATACTTGAGTATTTTTGTTATTACCCACTGCTGTTTTTTTTTAATCATTATGAAAAAAAATGAGGGCTCTTGTTCTATTCAAAATTGTAGTAGAAATTTTACTATGTTTCAAAAAATTACCTTTATTGCATATAACAAAGTACAAAAAAAAGGAACATAGAAGGATTATAATTATTTAAAAATTGGACAAGAAATATGCTTTAGTCATTATTTGGATATAGTAGAGCCTGATTGTCATTCAAACAAAAAGCCCCATGTTGAAAAAGAAATGAATATTAATAATAAACTAATTACAAAATTGTGATACTCAAAAGTTGTCTTCTAATAATAGTCTTGTATTTGCAGATCAAGTTCAAATACTTATAAAAGTTCTTTATTATTACTAGCGAAATAGACCTGGTTTTATTGAACTAAGTTCTGTTTATTTTCAATTAATAATAGAAAATGCTAATTCTTATTTGCATAGAATTTTTGACCAAATGGTTAAAGCTTTAATATCTAATGAAAGTTCTATATATAAAAAAACAAAAGCAAAAAAAACAGTAGTTAGTTTTTGTTATATGATAGCTAATACAAGAAATATGTTTGTTAATAGTTTTAAATTAGAGGTTGGCTTGTACCTTTCAATATCTAGAATATCATTTGCAGCTATTGATAAGTTGCATAATTTGGGTGTCAGTATAAGTAGTAAAATGATCAATAATTACAAAAAAAAACTTGTTCAAGATCATCTTCAAAGAATTCAAAAATTTTTTATATACAATATAATCTTTTTGTAACACTATATACTGTTATTATCATTATATATTTTAAAATAAATAATTTATTTAATTATTTAATTTTTTAGATAAATATTTTATATGTTTATAATTTGGACAATTATCATAATATTTATAAGGAAAGACATCCCGATGCAACAACACTATCGACAGCTTCATATCTTGCAACATGTATTTGCAAACTAGTAAAATTATGTGCATCAATTCTCTTTATTTTTAATAATGCACATATTTACAATCCACTAAATATTGATGTGAATAATATTTGTTTTAGATTAATACATCAATATAGTAGAATCTTTGATATTTTATATGGGACACGAAGATTACAATGGAGAGGTTTAGATCTTAATTTTAATAAAATTAAACTACTAACAATACATGTTTATAATGATGCAATAAATAAATAAAAAGAGAAATGATCTACTAAAAATATACGATTAATTTGGTTTCAAGAACAAAGTTTATACACAATAAATGATTATCTCAATGTGCTTCAGATGATATTAAAGATTAATAAGGATATTGGGCATTTATATAATCATGTAGCACCTATTATAACAGACTGGCCAGGCTAGCTTTTTATTTGTAAAGCAATTACAAATTTAAATAAATCCTCCTTTAATATTCCTTGTAAGATTAGTTCATTTGTTCTACTTTAGGATTATTGCATGTTTCTTTGAATAGCAGAGAGCAAACTATTATTGTATATTATTCCTTTTTTAAAAAATTGTTTCATTTTGTTTTTGGTAAAAAAAAAAAAAAATTAGCTAAGAAGCCTAAGCCATGGTGAATTAACTTATTACTAGAGTTGGCACATAGTGGATAGTGTAAGGTTAAAGAAAAAATTATAACAAAATTTGGCTCAAATTGTAAAGATATTGAATACTGTATAGTTTTTAATCTCTTGGATAATTTAGTTCTAGCTGTATTAGAAATATATGCTATTCTTTTTTGGTCTGGCTTGTTTAATAAATATTTGGAAATGATATTTTGAATATGGACATTTGTGTTACAATAGTGACAACATAATTATAACAAAGTCTCACTTGCATTTTTATCTGATGTATTTTATTGGCAAGATACTAACCATCCATTTTATGAAGCATTAAACTTTTTTTAGTAAATTTTAACAAATATTATGTCAAGAATTATTATAGCAAAATTTGCATACAAACTTGTAAAAATTAAACAACAGAAAATATTATAAAACAAGCTTATGTAATCAGTATGCATTTCAATTATTTATTTTATTTAAAATACTAACTAAATTTACAATATAGATATGCGAGATGATAAAAAATTGCAGGATGCCTTTATTAAAACAAAATAATATCCTTATACATCATCAAAATTAAACTTTTTAACTAAAAAAACTAGGCTCTTCCTTCTTAATCATCTAAAAGAAATTTTTAAAAATCAGAAAAAGAGTAAAATCCACTAAAAAAAAACTTCAGAATATTATTTAGCTACCATGAATGAAATTGTGAACACTAAATACTTACCTACAGATAAAGTTATAAAATTCTTTTCTTTTAAAAAAAAAATAAAAAATTTTACAACGAAACTCTATCTACAGGATATTGTTCAAATTTTCCTCCTAAACCCAACTTGTGTGATCACTGTTATAAGATTTTAGATGATAATAAGGTTCTAATTTGTGGGCATAGTTATCATTACAACTGTTATACAATAATAGAGTATTGCTGCTATCACTGCAAAGAATATTTTAAAAAAGAAATTTATCATAATACTAAAAGTTTTAAGAAGCAATTGGAAAAAGAACCTATCAATCTTACCAAGGAAGAAAAACAAGAACAAAATAACAGGAATCTGAGGAGGATGCAGTTCAGTAGAAGAAGTAAAAATTGAGAAGTCTGACACTTTTCTACTAGCACTTAATACTATTAATGATTGGTAAATGTTTAAAAAAAAAAGTAAAAATTAGTATTATAAAAACTTGGCTAAACATTCGATCTCATTCGATCCCAAGTTTTCAAATACAATAAAAAATACTTGTGAACTTGTAGTTTGTATAACAATAAGTAAATCTAACACATTATGATTGTTATCATATAAGTGAAATCACTCAAAAAGTTGCATTTTTGTAAATCTGTTATAATTTGATTAGCTATTTCTGAGATAATTAATGATCATTATATGACTAGTCAAAATGAATTTTCTTCATACTGTAAAAAACTAAGAGTAGGTTAAATTGTTAGTTAGAATCTTTAATAATAATATTAAGTATATAGCATAGAGTTAATAGAAAAAGGACAAATTATTTTTAATACAATTTTTTTTAATTTTTAAATTAAAATATCTTAACAACTAATTAATCAAATTTGCTAAATTTTGTTTTTTTTTTAATTTTGGAATTATATAAAATTAAAATAAAAAAAATTATAAAATTAAATAAGATAATTGCTAAGAAATTTAAACTTAAAGTTAAAAAAACTTTTACTTAAAAAAATTTTGGTTTTTTTCTATTAACTTTACTCTATATATATAGAAATAAATATAAAGTTATTAGGAAGGATAATATAATTAAATAGAAAAGAAATATTATATTGAAATAAAGTATTATTAAAATGGTTAGTATAAAATTTTTTAATATGTTCTACTAAACTAATAGATTTAGTATTAAATAAGTTACTATTAAAGATAGATCAAATATAGTATAGGTAATGCCTACTCTAAATCAATTAATTATTTATTAAGAAGTTAGCTATAATATATTTAATCCTAATAGTTAAAGAAAAAAAATAATAGCTATAATAAAAGAAAAGCTAACATGTTTAATTATTTTGTAGCTAATATCAAAAAAACTATATACTTTATTATTTAATAGTTAAATTATTATAAAAATGATTTCTTTTTAAATAAAGTTCAAAAAAATACTAGAGTCCAATTAGAGTTAATACTTAATTTAGAATTATATTTATTTAGTTATTAAGACTAGAGATATTGTAATTAATATTCTAAAAAGCAGTTCAACTGTCAAAATATTGTTGAATATGTGATTCAATAAACTGTCAAAAAATATTTATCAAAAATTAAAGTTTTTGTAAAAAAAATAATAATTAATCTAGTATAGTAAAATCTCTATAAGTATACACTTTTGAAACCAAGCTTTAACAACATGCATTTAGAATTAATAAGAAAAAGTGTATATATATTTGTCCAAAACTTAAGCATGCATTTATAGAGGGTGTGTACTTATAGAGTGTGTATTTATGGAGATTTTACTGTATCTTGTTAATGAATTCACTTATAATAAGTTGTATTTATTGATTTAGTGTATTTTTTGTTTGTTTTACATATCTATTATTTATTTTTATTAATCTAATTTATTTTAGCACTTTGATCAGCATTAATATCTTTAGTATAAATTCTTCTGCGAGTAGAATTGATTATTATTTCTTTATTTTCATCATTATTTTTTTCTTCTTCATTTTCAATATTAATTTCTTCGTTCTTAACATCTTCATTATTAATTTCTTCATCCTTATTATCTTCACCATTAATTCTTTGCACTTTGTTATCTTCATTAATAATTTCTTTTTCTTTATCTAATTCTTTATTAGAAGATCTACAATCATAAAAACATCTATATACTTTTATAAGAATATAAATAAATAAAGAGATACAACTTATTACAAGATTAATAAAAGGGATAATTTGATATGTGATTATTTTTACATGATAAAACACCTTATTAAAAATTAATAAAAAATAAATATAATATAAAAAAACAACAAATTTAACAAAAATTAAAAAAAAGCTTACTTGGATAATTAACCATGGTATGCTATCAATAAAAATAGTTAAAACTTTACACCAAAAAATATAACTAGTTGCCTTTTTAGTAAATGGAGCATTAAATATTTCAAATCCTCCCAAATGAGAATTTAATACCAATAAAATTTCAATGTCAGCACTGGATAGTACAGTAAATAAAGCAGCCCATTTGAGATTTATAATAAGCCATTCATTAAAATAGTGGTTCGAAAATATTTCAGTAAAGATTGCAAATGCAAAAATTGTATCCAGGCCAATATTAATACTAAAAAAAATAACACTAAAAACAATATTAAAAAATAAATATAATAAATCCAAATATTTATATAATAAAGTATAAAATAAATATTATAAAAACCTTGGGATATAAAGATCCGGAACATCTTTTGCATTTTCTATAATAAACAAAATGTTCAAAAATAGATGAAATAAACTTAAACTTGATGTGAAAAGAACAGATGCACGACACTAAAATAGTTTAAAAGTTTTAGTATACTTGATTATTTTTTTTGAATATGTTTAATATATTTTGATTAAGAACATACCTGTTTTGCTGGAAAATTTTTAGTGTAATAATCATTTTGTAAATTTTTACAATCATCTCGTAACAAACATTTTGGTTTATGTGAACATCCTAGACTTGGTGAAAACTTTAAGTGAAGACATTTTTTCTCTGGCTTTATTTTATTATGCCTTTTACGTGCTAAAAGATATATAATAATCAAAAATATAGACACAATTCCAACCCCTATGGCCCAATACTTGTGATCCAAAAATTCTTCCCACAAATTCGCTAGAGAATTAAATTGAATATAGTTTAGCATATAAGCAAAATTAATAGAACAATAAAAACACTTACGTAATGATTCAAATTGATGGTTATCATCAATATAGGATGTATGGGGCAAAGTTGAAAGTGCAGTAATGTATTTGTTCTCAATTAATGAATTTAAATCATCCTTTATCTGGTCAGCATTTGGTTGGAATAAATCTTTTGTATCAGAAATTGTTAATTCAAATAGTAATTGTTGACCAGGAGTGTTTAGATCAATATTAGTTCGACCAGAAAAGAGTATTCTTGATGAATCAGTAGGAATACACTGAGCAAGTTCATCACGTAAACTCATGATAAATAATGACTTTTGATCAGATGTTAAATTATTATAATGAATTGTTCCATCTTCAGTTAGACGCAGAGTTCCAGTAATTGGTTCTAATAGATTTAAGATAGTTTAAGAGTTTGACATTAAAATGTATACATATAATCATTTGACTAAATAAGGCATTTCATCGAGATAAATAGTTTCATTAAACAGCTACATACCACTATAAATATATGATAAGTCACCTAGATAATTAATAAAAATTAAGAACAGTTGCTAATACAATAATGAGTCATAAAAATGATTTCACATTTGACTTACGAGATTCTGTTTGAACAGTCCATAATCCATTTGCTATGCCACGTATTTTTTCTTGCAAACCTGCATCTTGAACAAACTCATTGTCCACAGTTATCATATAAAAAGCGGAAGGAACATTGAAAGTGCTCAGCAAAATTAGGCAACTAATTGTAGTATTATCGCTAAGGATTGAACAATAGGATAATCCCGAAAAAGACTGCCTTAATTGTAACTGTTTAGTATCATTATTAAAGATTCGATAAATAGAAATATTTCCTGATGACTGAGAAATAGGATTTCTATAAGTAATATTTAGAGAATTCTTAAAACGAAGGTATAATTTTTGGTTTATTCCTGGATATGATGATGTGATCAAAACATTTTGAAATCCGACTTTTAAAAAGTATATTAGAAATATAATTAGAAATAAATTTACATTACAATACTATAAATACGTAGTAGACATACCGTCTTTAAGGTATCTTGGCATATCTGAATTCATAATTACCCAATTTTGATTAATATCTTTTATGGCTAACCAGAAAGTATTATTCTGCATTAGACCAGACGAAAGGTGAGCAATCACATTACTAGCCACTGTTATAGTTAAATTTTCTGGTATATCCCATAGCTTAAAAGAAGTTAATGAATCATTGCTATAATAGCCTAAGATTTCAAAAGACTCATTTGCGATAACAGAATATTTAACAAAAAGAGCACCACCATAATGCAATGAAAAGTATTTATAAAAAGTTATATTTGAAGAAGTTTGTGTAGTAGTTATTGGTACTGGCGTTATGTTCATTACTGCTCCAGTTGATAGAAAAGATATTTTCATTACACCAGGAGCCGGTAGGTTCGGGGTCCTTGCAGTTAACTCAGAAATTAAACAATCAATTCCTCGGGAATCATATCTCGATTGACAAGAATCTAGAAATATTATATTGGAAACATTCTTTGTTGTGTAGATCAAAAAAGGACCAGTCGATTCGCTTGTATTAGTATTTGATATAAATGCCACGTTCACTGTAATATAAGGATTTATATCAGTAAAATTATAATTGAAATGACTTGTATAATTCATTGTATATGCTAAACAATATGCTAGGCCATAACTACCATCCACCTTTTGAAATAAGGTGAATGCATTAAAATTTGATTGATAAGAATATGCCATGGCATTTGAAGGAAAAGGGATATTTCCTTCTGAAATTTTTGAAATAGTACTATTATTCGTTAATTTTAAACTATTATACGTATAAGATAACAGATAAAACGGGTTTAATCATTATTATAATATTTAATAAATGAAAAATATCAAAGAATTACGACTCACGGAGAAGTGTATTTTGCCCATTTTAATCCAGCTGTAGGATCTATATTTGCTACCAAAAATCCGGTCTCCGGATTTATATTTGCTATGACACTTATATCAAGTGCAAGGTAAGATGGTGTGAATGGTACGTTTCTTAAATAATATTTATATATGTTTAAGTTTATGTTCGTTTAAAATGTTATTTATGATTATGAATGTAAGCATTCAAACAATATAAGCGACGTACGTTGAAAAGGGGTGACTTAATTGTTTATAGCTAAAACTAACTAAAACTAACTACTCAGATAACCAATCTACAATTCAAAGACCCTAAAGACTTCGATTTGGCAGGCAAAAAGAGGCGCGGAGAGACTTGGTCCGAGTCTCAAAGTCTTGTTGAGTCTTGCTGCGGCGTATTTGGGGGTCAAGATA